CCTCGCTCTACTCAGTAGGGACTTCGCTTCGGTGCACTCCTCGTCAACTATCTTCTAATGAATGTGTCGTGAAGTTGTGAGGGCATGTGAGATGTTGGTGAACTATCTTCTAGGGCAAGCTGCCATTTGTCATTTGTAATGAATGTGTCGTGAACCATGTCGTACTAATGTTTGAATTATCTTAAGTTATGAACATCGTCGGCATAAAATTTGTGTTTGTTCATATTGCTGTGATGCTGCAGTCATTGTAAGTATTATGGATGTAGTGGGAGTAGCCATGGGAGTAACTGTTGGCTTTCTGGATAGCCATGGCAGTAGTGCAGCGCCTAAGGGTAGGGCGCTGCACTATACAGTGCAGCGCCTAACAGTTGGGCGCCACACAGTACAGTGCAGCGCCTAAACGTTGGGCGCTGCAGTGTTGCTATAAGCAAAACTGCAGAAACAGATGCCATTTTGGGTGGGGTGCAGCAGCACTCAAATAACTAAAACATCAATAAAAGTACTATAAACTGGACATGCTAAGCAAAGAGAACTAATAACTTGAACATCACATCATTTAAGACAATTCAAGTTTGCTTCAAGTTTGCAAACACAAATACCATAACATAACCTCACAAGTTAATCAACCTCACAAGTTCACAAGTTCATCATATAACATAACCTCACAAGTTCATCAACCTAACACAAAGCACTAATGCCTTCCACGCGTGTTCCTGGTGCCACGCCTGTAGGTAATCTTCTTCTTCTTAGGAGCACGAGGCTCCTCTTCGTGCACTTCCTCCTCCGCCTACGGCTCCGCCTCCGCCTCCTCCTCCGCCTCATCATCCAAGCTAGCCATCCGCGAGGTCCCTACGACCACCTTTGGGTTGCCTCTGTTGTCATAGTCGTTGGGCGTGTACTGGCGTCTGGGCTGCCTAGGCTTGAACACATATGCGGACCGAGCTTGAGCGTCCGCCAATAACATGTCATCATCAAGCTCATGGCCCTATCACAGAACGAAACAATATGGTCAAGGCCGGTGTCGTAATCAAGTGAGAATCACATCTAAAGGCTTAGTCATACCTCTTGGGTGAGCGCACCCTCATCATCCATATAAGCATAGGAGGAACTCACATCGTCCCCCTCATGGTGAGATGCGGGGTCTGATGGTGTACCAGACCTAGAGGCAGATGGTGATTCATATTCAGGATCACGGCAACCGAGTAAGTTCGATAACCGCCTTAACTTCTTGGCCTGACGCTGTAACATGAACAAGTGTGTAACATATCAAACTTCGCAACATAGACTGGCTCTCATAGTGAATGCGATATGTACCTTGAGGAATGCTCGTAGTGAACCATCATCATTGCCAGTTCCAACCGGTGTCTTCTCCAGAATAGACTGGCTCTCATCAGCTGCTTTCTTGATCTCGATGCGCTAAGGATGAGAAAGAATGAATGTGTTAGCCATTCAAACATGTGTAATACGGTCAACGGGAAAGTAAAGAACGGGACACTTTACCACATAGTTAATCACCGGAACAGCAGGCACTCCTTGCCCTTTCCTGACATCTCTGTTGTACTTCCCCTTTGCTAGATCCTCATAGTTTACTGGTTCTTCAAGAATATCCTCATTATATGCCGGCGGCAATATCTCAACTCGAGTAGTTCCAATAAACCATCGTACGTAGTTATCAAAAGCTTGTTGGTTGTGCTCACGAAGCGGGGCGCGTGCAGTGCTACGAGCTTGCTCCACAGAAAGCTGGAAGCGGGTAACATACGAAGCATGATGCTTGTCCCAGTCCTTTATCTTCCGCTGCCTTCTCCTGTCCAACCTGCGTGGTATAAAACCAAGCATTAGCACAATAAAAGGAGTCCCGATGCTTAGACAATACGCAGACATGCTCTCTTACCTATGAAGTGCTTTGTCCGTGTCCACCCAGTCCGGCGGGTGAGGTTGGAACAGACCAAACTGACGATAAACGTGATGCGGCAAATGAAACTCAACCGCCCAGTTGCATATCAATGGGCACCGCATAAGCCAGAGATCCTTATCCCGCAAGCACATCGGGTTGAGGCGGAACTCCTCGGTGTACCCAAGCTCTCACCCGCGCCATATGGCTGCCATTCCACCTATGAAACAGGGCAACAATGCAAATTTGATGACTATGTTTCAAGCAAGCATGAGAAAGGACAATGCAAATTTGAGGACTGAAGTAATGACCTCCTTACCTGCTCAGGCGTAATCGTGTCCAACTCGGCAATGTACTTTTGGTACATGAGATTGACATCGTTCGTCATCTCGAAAACGATATCCCACTTGCAAGCCCATGTGGGGCGCCGTAATTCATCATGTTCATCTGCATACCAAGGATCAAACCTGACGCTCTTCGGGCGTCCAACAGGCAGACGCTCCCAGCTCCATACAGAAAGTAGAAGCAGATTACCACCAATGCCTGCACTATCTGTGATCCTGCAACACGCATCGTCCAGCTACATATGAAAGAAAAAAACAATGTTAACTTGACAGCAAGCTTGCATTGCTAATGAAGAAATGAGTTGATCACAAAACAGACCAACTACCTGTCGGTACAAGTAGGCAAGAGTCGCTGAACCCCAGCTCCATTTGCTATCGAAGACGGTCAACGCCTTCAGCCACATCCATGGAGCGTTCTTGCTAGTGGAGTCAGGAAACAAAGTCCTCGACACAACGTACCACATATACACACGAGCATGTGTCTGGATCACATCATCAGTGGCATCCGGAGGGCACGTCGCAAAGTTATTTTGAATCCACGTGAAAGCAGCTCCAGCTGCTTTCCTTTCCCTCTTCTTCTTCTCTTCTCCCTCCTCTACATCAGCCTCAGCCTCGGTAGGAGCCATACCGATTAGAGCAATCATCTGCTCGCGCCACCCATCAGAATCGGTGCTCATACAGAGAGGCCTCCCGTCGATAGCAAGACCGGTGATCAACGCGACATCCTCGAGCGTCACGGTCATCTCCCCAGTCCGAACATGGAAACTGTGCGTCTCCGGCCTCCATCGATCAACAAGAGCAGACACCAGTGGAGCGTTCAGATTCGGCGTGGACCGGCTGACCAACAGAATCCACGGGAGTAGTCCTGCCTGCTTGATGTACGGTGTGTACCGCTCTTCGTAAGGCATGGCAGGACCAGAGACCCCGTGATACCGAATCTTCAGAGGTTCAAGCTTCTGCAAAAAAAAGAATGACAAATCTTAGGGCATGTAAATTTCAACTAAAGGCAAATTTGCAAAAGATTTAGAGTACTCATTATTACCTTATCCTTCTCGCGCATCATGTAGGACCGGTGTTGCACGTCGTAGACATCGTCCAGAAGCCAAACCATCCTTACAATTTCAAACAATAAACATACATGAGTTCATCTCAAATATCGGAAAACACTCAACATCTAATATATATCTAAAAAAACTCAACATCTCACATATAGCTACAAAACTCAACATCTCATAATCATCTACAAAACTAGGCATCTCATATATATCTAAAAAAATAAACAATCTAGGTTTAACTAACAAGAATCATATACTACCGGATATGACTACACATCCTCCCTCACAACACCGAAAGAGTTTCCACCTAACGAATGAACACTGGATATGAACACCGGATATGAACACCGGATATGACTACACGTCCTCCATCACAACAAGAATCATATACTACCGGATATGACTACCAATTCTTTTGGTTGCAATGAATGTGTGCTCATTCTGAAACACCGAAAGCCTGCCTTGACCACATTTGAACAATAGCATTGTTTCCTTGTCGGCTCTCTGCATACTTGCCATTGATGAGAAAAGGATTCCACATTTGAAGGTCAGACCAGGAAATGGCTCCTGAGATGGATGACTTATCATCTCCAATTGCAATATTACATCAAAAAACTTAATCTGGAACACCGAAAGATCCAATCCAAGCAAAACTAAGTTTCCACCTAATCTTGGGCAAATCCCTAAAATTGGAACGATTTTACGGAGGAAAAGAAAGGGAAAGGAGGAGTTTACGTACTAGGAAGGATTGGAGATCGAATCCAGGCCTCAAAACTTCAAATCTGAGAGGGGGTGTGGGGGGGATCCGAAGGGGGCGGCGCCGCCGCCGCTCTCTGTGACAACAGAGCAACTGGAAGAACTGCCTGGGAGGGTCTGGCCCGATGCGGGCTAAGTCAACGTGCAGCGCCTAAGACACGGGCGCTGCAAAATACACAGTGCGGCGCCTAAGTCTTAGGCGCTGCAGTGCTGTCTGTGGGGCCGCAACTGGACCAGGGCTGCCACGCTGGCAGGATGTGCAACGCCTAAGTGATGGGCGCTGCACAGTAGGGTGCGGCGCCCAGCTGTCGGGCGCCACACGAAAGGATCAGCAGAGTGATTTTTTTTTGAAAGCAGGTCAGTTTGTGAATTGATTTCTGCCTCAGGTCAAATATGTGATTTCTGCCCCGACGCGCTTGCTCCAGCCCAGACGGGGGTAGAGGCGAAGGGAAGCATGAGAGATAGCGCGGGCCTTGCCCAAAAATGCCATGCGCTGCTCCAAGCCGCACCAGACCAGATGCAACCAAGCAGCGAGGAAATGGAGGTGAAAACCAACGCACCACTTGCGATCCCCATTGTACAATAGTAGTACAAACTAAACTACGGCCCTCTGATGCACGATTATTCTGTTGTAACTGTGCCCACACTGGGTAATAATGTAGCTTGTGTATTGCAGCCTGTGTAGCGACAGTGATGGGCTCCAACGGATTAACAGTTATAAGACCGCTGATTTTTTATGCAAGTATAAACCGAATAGTTAGGTGTTTCCAAAATCATGTGCAACTTTAGTTTTAGAAATGTGCGACCAAGCAACTGTAAATTAACCCAAAGCCTAAATTTTGATGCTTTTTTGATGTTTTTGATGCTTTTTTTTTTCTTTTTTTCTAACTCAATGTAACAGCAATGTGTAGCTTGGTCAACATAGAAATGACAATTTCTAAATTCTCGGATGGCTTAGAAATGGAGCAGTAAATATGTTTTCTTCAAAACAATAAAGCTTGCTGGATACAGTAGGAAAAATGAAGGGGGCATTTCAGGTTCATTTCTGGTCTATTCAGGGTGGAATGTAGAGCCATTTGCATCAGCAATCTACAGTGGTTGTAAAGAGATTAAAATTTTGCTACAACACTCCCCACAAAAAGAAAAACTTTTGCTACAACAGAAATCTTCAATTACAGCACACATGCTTCCCCCCTCCATGCAGTGGGGCAAATGATCGCCCTGCACAAGAACTATGAGCTGCTACAGAGGGGTGGGCGCACCAACTATTTGGCCTCCATCCAAATGAGCACCACGTCTGGGTGAACGGCCAATATTTTGGCAGCACGTCTCGGAGCAATAATCCAAACAGCCCGATATATCTCCTGCCTGCAGCTTATGAAAATGTTGGGAAGCGTATCTACCAACCGTACGAGTCCACGTATACTTGCAATGCACGGTTAAGGTTGTTACAATCATACTCCCTCTGTCTCAAAATAAGTGTCACAACTTCGCACTAATTTTAGTAAAAAGTTGTACTAAAGCTGAGACACTTATTTTGGGACGGAGGGACTATCATACAAATTGCACTCCAAGTTTATCTACATGTCAGAGGCGGGTAGAACCCTAACCAACATAAGTATCTATAGATATCTTAACAAAGCTCCCACCAGCCAGTGCCATACTTCTTTGCAAGATGTGGCAGAAGAACCATCTTCTTAACTGCAAGGTCAATCAATACAAGTTACACATTTACAGTGAGTCAGAAGAGATATCTTTTAACCAGCAAGTCAAAGGAGATTTAGGAAAAAATAAGGGCATGGTGTTTGGGAGTATTTTCTTACAAGCTGGTTTGAGATTTTTCTTTTCGTGGGGGGGCTTGAGATTTCCTAACATGTACTATTTGTGAAAAACTAAACTGACCATAACCACGGTTTGCTCAAGGTATTCACAGTGTACATATGGAGATTACCAGCTTCAGAATCGAAGGAGTCAAAACTCTGGATGTCAGGTATATGCTCAACAATGTCACTGTCATCCGCATGCAGCCTATCCATGAACTCCTTTCGCATATCTGTTAGAACCATCTTCTGTAGTGTCTTAATGTGCTTGATGCCTCGAGGCACTATCTTCAGACTCTTTAGACCAACAATCTCCAAAGTATGTAGAACCTTCATTGTGCCTTCCTCAATCTCAATCGAATTTAAACGTTCCATGTCAACTAATGCAAGAGAACTGAGCTTGGGAAACCATCCTGCACGAAATGTTAATTGTTCCCCATCATAAGTTCTGCAAAGATTCAGATACACTAGATTCAGCGTGTGAGCAAAGGAGTTAATAGGATCTTTCTTCAGACAAGAACAATCAAGTTTCAACGCAGCGAGCTTCTCAAAACTTGCAAAGATCTGCGGGAGCACTCCCTCATACAACCTCCCTCTCAACCAGAAAAACTTTAGATTTTGCAAGGGCTTTATCTTTATCAGATTAAGAACCTCCTTGCTGTTTGCAAAAATAACCAACCTACTGAGGCTAGGCATCCTGGCCAAGGAGTCCCATAACTCTGCAATGTAGTTTTGACGCATTTTCATTATAGCCAAACTTCTCATCAGTGTCAACTCACCGAGCTGCGTAAGTAGGTTTTTGTTGGCTGAAACAGATTGTAAGCTTTGCAGATTCTTTAGACGGCAAATATTGCCAGGGATATTTGTAGCAGAAAAGCAGTCAAATATCCTTTCTTGAAAATCATGGAGCATGTATACATACAGATGCCTCAATTTAGTCAGGTTTGTTATTTCCCATGGCAGCTGCTCCACATAGGTGAACCGCAGGTCCAAAACTTGTAGGTTCGTAAGTTTACCGAGCGATGCTGGTATATGCTTAACCTTTGTGTGAGCTAAATCCAAATAGTGCAAATTAAGCAAGTCTGGGACAACAGCCGGCACTTGATGAATGTTAGCAAACCTTAGACACAGGACACGGATCAGTCTGAAATTTGATGAAATGTCATATATCCAAGAGGATGCAACTTGTGTGTCAAATAAGATTAAAGATCGGATCCGTGACGCTGCAGCAAGCTTTAGAGACCGAGCATGCTTCTGAACAAACAAGCGGCGGACTTCAGAGTTAACCTGGGTTATACCAGGGTCACCGTATACGACAGCAAACTTCTCTCTGTTTGCAACAATCAGACATGCATCGCGCACAAGGTCATGCATTTGAAATGAGCTAGCTCTTCCATGAACATTCCTTTCTGCAACTTCAAGAAGAGAACGACGAGTGAGCTCCTTTAGGTAACACTCAGCAACTTCCTCCATTGTTGTCCCGGCACCTCTTTCCTCAACAAGACCTTCTGCGACCCAAAGCCTGCAGATCCATCTTCTTTTAACCTTGTAGTCTTCAGGGAAAGGGCTGCAGTATAGGAAGCAATTCTTTAAATGACTTGGGAGATCATTCAAGCTGAGATTCAGAACACTCACAATCCAACTGAGCTCTGGATTGTTAGCTAGTTGCCAGCTAAGTTGGTTGTGGAGAGAACTCCACTCTTGCTCCTCTAGTTCTCGGTACGACAAAAGGCTCCCAACTGCGACAATAGCCAGTGGAAGTCCTTGGCACTTTTTCACAATTTTCTCTGCCCAAAGCCTCAGATTTAGTGGACATATTTTGTCTTCTAATCTACGGAATGCCTTTTGACAGAATAGGTGCCATGCTTCAGCATAAGGAAGAACTTTAAGCTCCACAACAAATCCGTCGTTTGCTAAGGAAGCAACATCCTTTTTGCGAGTTGTCACTAGCACTCTACTTCCATGATTATTTATTACAAGTGCACGCTTCAAAAATAACCAGTCATCTCTATCCCATACATCATCCAAGACAACCAGATATTTCTTGTCCTGTAGGTAGCTCTGAAGTTCCTCGATTAGTCTTACACGACTCATAGTCTCGATACCACTGGCCATGTAGGCTCTTTGGTCCATCAGTTGCTTCATGATTTGCCTCAGTAGGTCTTCAACTAGATAATTCTGAGATAAAGTCACCCACACATGACAGTCAAACATTCTGATAATCTGTTGATTTTTGTAGATACTGCTTGCTATGGTTGTTTTTCCTAGACCTCCCATGCCAAGGATGGACATGATCAATCGGTCTTGTCGCTCTGTGAGTAGCCATTGTGTCAACATACTTATTTCACTGGCATTGCCCACTAACTCAGTATCATCAGATAGATAAGAAGAATCTGATAGAGAGAGCTGCCTGGCATATTGTAGTGTGCTACTCCTGCCCGGTTCTCGTACAGAAATTCCATAACGATCTTTCATTGTAGTGAGCCGCTGAATTCGAGCTTCTACTTGATCAATCTGGCTTGACAGGTTCCGCCATGCTGCAAAGCTCTTAGCCTGATGGAATTTCCTCTTGAAGAATCTGTCTATGCCCGCAGCTTGCGAAGTGAGGAAAGTATACTCGTCAATGATATCTTCTACCTGATGGGCAACATCTCTAACTTGGTCCAGCCAGGCATCAAATGTCTTGTCACCAACATTCTGTGCGCTAACCTGGCCAATAAATGCCTTTAGAATCATGAACTCGCCCTCGATCTGTTTCATGCCATGCTCGAAATCCGTCAGAACCGATGCTGCCTCCACTACCTCTGTGCTCAGCTTCTCTGACGCCGCTCCTCCGAGGGAGAGAGCAATTTTTCTGAGAACAAGAAATAGGGTGTCTGCCATGTGTGCTCCACTCAAAATGTTAGCACAGCAGACTAGCACGACATCATTGAAGAAGCTTCATGTCAATGCAGATCTGCAATCATTTGGAGTAAATTGAAATGACAGAATCAGTCATGACATCGTATGGCTGCAGGGATAAGCATCACAGGTCACTGCAAAGGCCAGCCACAGTTACCTGTTCCTGGAATTCTCCATGTGACAATCATGTGTAGGATGGATGAACTGCTAGTGAATTTATCTTCTCGGCAGCCTGTTTTGCAAGAGTAACAACAGATGAGCACAGAATATGATTGTGTCTGACACTAGAAATAGCGGCTAAGCTAGTAAGATATCACTGTTATCACAACATAGGTGTACTGTACTACTACGTGTCGTGTGAAGCATGTCAGAAGAGGGAGCTGCACGATCATGCATGAATTAGCCACATGCTCGAGTGTTTCATTATAGTGTGGCTTTTACTTATGAAGTTTGCCCATGCATCTCAGTTTTTCTTTCTTTCTTTCTTTATGAAAACAGGGATCCCTCCAATTTCTATTGTAAGAAACCAGCTAGTAGCTACAAGGAAAATAGGAACAGAAAGGAGTTCCAGCTCTTCCTCTGGACTGTAGGAAAGCATCACATCTACTAACTATCTAAGCATAGCTATGTTGGGCAGAAGTCTGTAGTAACTAACTACGTATTATTCAGTTTAATATATGATGCTCTCTCTTGAAAAAAAGACCACTGGTACATGCCGCCAATTGTGGTGGTGATCGAAGAAGAAAGCAAGTAGCGGATGCATCATCCCCGTGAAGTGGACGAACTCTCCAGTCTGGAAGTCTCCACGATACGAAAAGTCAAAACTTTAGACCAGGTACACTGAAATAGTCATGTCAGCTGTTTTGACTGACCGTGCGTGGACTTAGTTTCAGATGTCCCGGCGCGTTAGATCTGCCCAAAACAAGATGATCCAGGATGCTACGGCAAACGATTCCATGTCTCGCCGAGACATTCGGAAGGAAGAGAAGGGGAATTTTGTGGGCTGATTTGGCGGCCGGGGAGCATAGACGAGGCGAAGAGATTACCGCCGGGGAGAAACGACGGAGCAAGGCTCGCGAGTTCGCCGCCTCTCGCGCTCGCCGGCGCCGAAGAGGCCGCTCCTTGACCCCTCTCGTCTCTAGTGTGAGGCTAGGGCGCGGGGATGGTGGTGCCGCGCTGCCGCTGAGAATGCGAGGACGAGGCGATGCAGCGTTGCCGGTCGCCGCATTCACACTAGCCTGCCTTCGGGGTTGACTGAGCCACCTGCTCCAATAGGTGTATTTTGAATTTTGACCCGAATTTTTCAGGGGTTGTCAGCATATGTGTGGTGAACATTCATGATTTTTTCAGAATTTTTTAAAAAATGTTTAAATTTGAGATTTTTAAGTTGGTATCATGGGAGCATGTGAGGGTGGGTATCATTGGATATTTTCCACTGCTCCAACAGTTTCTTTTTCGAGACCAACCCGGGCTAGGCTAGCCTGTTGGCATTTTTTTATAGAAGAAAACTCCGTGAGCACAAAGCGCTCGAGCCGAGATTTGAACACTGGTGGGCTGGCTGCGAACTCCCGCGCCTTGCTAACTGAGCTACGCTCCGTTCTCACGCTCCAACAATGAACTCCATTAGACTGTGCACATGGTGCTTTGATTTAAATGATTTTATAGGAATTTCAGTGGATTATACTATACACAAATGTAAGACGTAGAATTGCATAAATGTCTTGTACAGTACACTCTCTATAAATAAATATGAGAGCGTTTAGATTACTTCTAAAACACTTTTATATTTTTTTACGGAAGGAGTATTTAGGAAGAGAGGAAAAAGAATCTAAGGACTTAAGAGGCTCTTTTTTTTAAGGGAATCTAAGGAGGTTCTTTGATCCATAGGGTTCCTAAATATTCCCTTGCACTATCTTTCATAGAAAATTTAACATCCACTCAAATATCTATGAAAGATTCATTTGTTCCGTTACGCAATCAAACGAACCAAAGTTATGTAGGGTTCAAATGGACATGACATGTAGATTATGTAGGGTTTAAACGCACTTGGTCAGCCAAGCGTCAGTGTCGTCCTAGTCGCAAAGCCACGAGAGGACGGATGGTCCTGGTGCGCGGCAGGGAGGTCGTGCTCATAGGCGAGGTGATAGCAGCAGAGAGCATGAGCGTCGGCAACTCGCCGGCCGTTCTGAGTGTGCCCGCGTGGAAGGCAGCCAACCGTTGGCGCCACCGTCGCCCCGCGACACGCCTTGACCTCAAAATCGACAACGCAAGGGGGTGATAGAGCTCGTCGTGACGAATGGGGATAGGGATTGAGAGAACAAGAAGATGGGAGCAGGGACGGAGCTCTAGTATTGACACTAGTGTCAACTGTGATTTTTAGAATTTCTTTGCTAAATTTGCACTCACAAGTGTTAATTTGGGAAGATGACACCATTGCTATGGAGCTGAGCTGTACGATCTTCTATGTAACTTTGCCCTAGACGTGTGGGGGGTGGAGGGGTATAAGGTCCATTCTTTCGCGCATATGCTAATTTTTGGATCTGATGTTCAAGATTCATGCGTCTCATTCACTGAGAATTATAAAAATCTGACGTTCGTCAGCTAACATCTTTCTAACCAGCTTGCAAGGCTATATGCAGCTTAGAATAGACTTTTTTTCAACATAGTACAATCGTAGACGCTCACATACGCGTAAATTACACTCATCCATATAGGGCGTGTTTGGTTGCCTGCATGAGGCCCAACCAGGACCACGTGGAAAGAATCCGGTCTATTTGGTTGCCTGCTTTTACTGTTCAGTCTGCATGGCACAAACCTTAAAAGCACTCCTGGGCCTGGCTCCCTGGAAACGCCCGAATCAGCAGTTTCTTCAGGGCCAGGCCCGAGCGGTGCACGTAGGCGGCGGCGGCGGCTGCACGCGCGCGGCCATGCTTGAGAAGCTGCGTTGCTTCCCGAAGCGCCGGCAGTTATTAGCCTCACCGCCCCTCACCGCTCCCTCTCCACACTCTCCCAACTCTCACCGGCGACGGCGGACCGGAGGAGAGCAAGAAGACCACCTTACTCCATCACCTGGGCAGTGATACGTCTCCGTCGTATATATAATTTTTGATTGTTCCATGCCAATATTATTCACTTTCATATACTTTTTGGCAACTTTTTATACTATTTTTGGGACTAACAAATTGATCCAGTGCCCAGTGCCAGTTCCTGTCTGTTGCATGTTTTTTGTTTCGCAGAAACCCAATATCAAATAGAGTCCAAACGGGATAAAAACGGACGGAATTTTTTTTGGAATATTTATGATTTTCTGGAAGTAAAATCAACGCGAAACGGTATCCGAGGTGGGCACGAGGTAGGGGGGCGTGCCCTACCCCCCAGGCGCGCCCCTGACCCTCGTGGTCCACCCATAAGGCGGTTGATGCTCTTCTTTTTGCGCAAGAAAGATAATTATATGAGAAAGATCTGGGCGAAAGATTCACCCCAATCGCAGTTACGGATCTCCAGATATAAAGGAAACGGTGAAGGGGTAGAACCTGCCAACGCAGAGAACGCAGAAACAGAGAGATAGATCCAATCTCGGAGGGGCTCTCGCCCCTCCCAAGCCATGGGAGCCAAGGACCAGAGGGGAAACCCTTCTCCCATCTAGGGAGAAGGTCAAGGAAGAAGAAGAAGAAGGGGGGCCCTCTCCCCCTTGCTTCCGGTGGCGCCGGAACGCCGCCAGGGACCATCATCATCACCGCGATCTTCACCAACACCTCCGCCATCTTCACCAACACCTCCATCACCTTCCCCCTTCTATATCCAGCGGTCCACTCTCCCGCAACCCGCTATACCCTCTACTTGAACATGGTGCTTTATGCTTCATATTATTATCCAATGATGTGTTGCCATCCTATGATGTTTGAGTAGATCTATTTTGTCCTAATGGCTATTTGATGATCGTGAGTGGTTTGAGTTGTATGTTTTATTATTGGTGCTGTCCTATGGTGCCCTCCGTGTCGCGCAAGCGTGAGGGATTCCCGCTGTAGGGTGTTGCAATATGTTCATGATTCGCTTATAGTGGGTTGGTGAGTGACTGAAACACAAACCCGAGTAAGAGGGATTGTTGCGTATGGGATAAAAGGGGACTTGATGCTTTAATGCTATGGTTGGGTTTTACCTTAATGAATCTTTAGTAGTTGTGGATGCTTGCTAGAGTTCCGATCATAAGTGCATATGATCCAAGTAGAGAAAGTATGTTAGCTTATGCCTCTCCCTCAAATAAAATTGCAATAATGATTACCAGTCTAGTTATCGATTGCCTAGGGACAAATAACTTTCTCGTGACAGCAAGCTCTTTACTTTTACTAATTTAGTTGTGTCTTTATCTAAACAGACCCTAGTTTATATTTACGCGTTCTTTACTTTCTTGCAAACCTATCCTTTCACACCTACAAAGTACTTCTAGTTTCATACTTGTTCTAGGTAAAGCAAACGTCAAGCGTGCGTAGAGTTGTATCGGTGGTTGATAGAACTTGAGGGAATATTTATTCTACCTTTAGATCCTCGTTGGGTTCGACACTCTTACTTATCGAAAACTGTTGCGATCCCCTATACTTGTGGGTTATCAAGACCTTTTTCTGGCGCCGTTGCCGGGGAGTCATAGCCTGGGGTGAATATTCTCGTGTGTGCTTGTTTGCTTTATCACTAAGTAATTTTTATTTGCTGTTCTTAGTTGTTCTCTATCTTTAGTTATGGATATGGAACGCAAAATACCAAAAAAATTAGTTGTACTTGCTACTCATGAGGATGGGGTAACTCCTAAAACCCTCGATTCTCATTATGCGAGAGATATTGTATACTACTTTGATAATCCTGAGAAAACCCCATTCAACTTTATAATGGGAGTAACGTTGGATCAACGTGAATACTTTAGGGATTATCGCTTAACACAAAAAGGGAAACTATTATGGGATCAAATTCATTTATTGAAGTGGTATGCT